GCTTTAGGAAAATCAGGAAATTGAGCAATATTTTGTTTTGGGTCTTTTTTGTGTTTTTTTTGTCTATAAACCTGTCATTTTCCAGCGTGTGCGTCGCCTGTGTTCCGGTACACACTGTGCAGACGTGTGTTCCGGAGGCAGGATGTGACGTCACGCTTTTCTGTGTTAGTGGCTGGCGCACACAATGGCTCGGTCTGTTTCCCCCGCTGCGCGCTGAGTCAGAACAAAACCGTGCAGTCTGTGCGCTGCAACCGCTGAGCCGGTGTCACACGGGGTCCTCCGCAGCCACCGTCACTTTGCACACAATTTAAAGGCACAGTCCAGTGAAAATGGAGCATTGAACTGCGTTCAGCATAGGTGCTGAATGTCCCGGGTTTGCCGGTCCAGTGCCGTATCTTAGCCCGTGTTCTGAGCATGTCTCGGGATCATGGAATTAACCTTATTTGAGTCGCTGCACATGCACAGTAACTCAAGAAAGGCTGCGCAGTTTAGAGGCGGAGTCTGGGTGGGCCAACGCGTAAAGTGCATGGATGTCTTGTCGCCCTCCTTAGCGGATTTCCCAATCTTCAGGGAAGACTGCGGATGGCACAAATCGTATGAAAGATGTCACCAGCACACCGAAAATCATTTCAGGATCACCAAGTGTTCATTTATCCACAACCATGTCAAGTAAAACAAGCGCTTTCGGGGGCCACACAGTGTCTCCTTATCAGGCTTAGCATTGACAATGTAAGTCTATGTGCTTCTCTATGCAATGCGGACAGATAATGGGTGGTGGGAGGAGCCGGCAGGGTGCTGTACATAGCTTCCTGAAAACATCACAGCACCCTGCCTCAGTACTCCTTCAAGAGCCCTCAGCCCTGATGGAGGTAGTGGGCTGGATCTTGGGAGGAGTTATGCAAATATCAAAATGCCTGAATGGATGTGAGTCTGGAGGAGTGGGCGTTCCTAGGCAGGATGTATTTGCATGCAGACCACCCACATAGGATGCTGAGCGTCCATGAAAGATCTGAAATCCAATTAATGAAATGGGCGGGGCCAGGGACAGTCGGGCTGGGGAGGAAAGCACTAGATGATACTGGATGTCCTCCATGAGGCAGAGCTCTATCTGACTTGCTGCAGCTTCTAATGCACATTGTGAGACCCTCCCAGTGTGCAGTGACATCAGAGGAGCCGGTGCAACTGTGCAAGAATGAAGGGAAGGCCGGAGGTCCGATAAAAGACTGAAGGGAAGGCGGAAGGCAAGATAGAGACTTGAAGGGAAGGACGGAGGTCAGATAGAAGACTGAAGGGAAGGACGGAGGTCAGATAAAAGACTGAAGGGGAGGACGGAGGTCAGATAGAAGACTGAAGGGGAGGTTGGGGGTCAGATATAATGACAGAGGCCAGTTTGTAGGGGGCATTGGAGGGATTTATCGTCACCTTTTGCTGCATATGTTTCCTGGTGTCTTTTGTCTGAGATAAATGGGCGAAATCATAAATCGGAATGACTGGGGGGGG